TGCTGCCATGTTGTGGTGGATTGCTTCGGTTCCCTTGGGTGCTTCTCATTTATTCTGCGTGTGCAATGCAGGTGATTCTGGGAGCATTCTGGGACTCTTCCTTTCAGATTCCTGTGGATATGCACTGCAAACAATGGAAACTCAATCTGAGCACAGCTGATGTTTTCTGAAATACAAAGCACACAAGTGCCTCGCTGTTCTGCAGTTGTGTGTGCACCTGGGATGGCAAATATCAGTGGCTGCTCTTGTCTGCTAGCGACAGCACTGCTGCATTTGTGCCTGTAAACTCCTGAGGCTGAAAAGTTGTGGCTGGATTCTTCCTTTGAGCATTATTCATTCTGTCCATATATATCATGTGTTTCTCTTGTTATCTGCTTAGGGTTCCATGCTCAAAATTGGCTGAATTAGTTATGCATTTGTTGAGTTCCCTTTTGTTTTGGAGAATGTGTGCCATGTCTTCAGGAAGTTTGAAGAAAAAAACTGGAGAATTATAAAGAATTAAGTATTGTTGGTGCTGATGAAAAACCTAAGCCAGAAAAAAAAATTGATAGCATTGTTTAAACAACTTCTCATAAATGTGTAAGATTCTCATTAGTCCAACATCAGAAGTCTAATGAATATTAATGAATGAGATCAAAGACATTTAGAAATCAAAGCAAGTAAACAACAATTATTTTTAAGAATTACATAAGTTTTTAACTGCACAAAATTATGAATCATCTTAATGGTATGGCTCCATGAGAAGTTTTTCTTGAAAATATTTTTCCTGAAAATTTTTGTGTTGAACTAGAAAGGCAAGTATGTAACGTAAACCAGAAAAATAGATACATCAAAACCTGAAATATTTAAAATGTCTTCATTATGCTGTATTGAAATACCTAAGTTAAACTGTGGAGTCTAACAGGCTGGGAATTTTTACTTGGCCTGAGTCCATGATTTGAGCTTGACTCAGACTGTCAACACAAATTGGTAAATATTGAGAAGGAAATTACTTTTGGATGTCTCAGACCTTTAATGTTTCTTTCTACATTTCTAGTACTTTTGGACTAAATGTGTCCGTGCTGAAACATATACATAGTGTAATTCTGTTTAAAAAGATGGCTTTACACATCATTTAATGCATACAAGATTTTGATCATCAAATATCAGAGTATGACCAGAACTATCTTCATCTCATTATCTGCTTTTCCAAATCTTATCTAGAACCAGCATGTGGTGTGACCTGTATACCACAGTTATTTAATCTTTGAACAGTACATGCTTGTAATATAGTATGGGGTATTCCAGCATCACAGTATGGTGTGAGTAAATCTTCCAAGACTGAGGGAAATAATTTGAAGAATTTATTAAATATTGCTTTTAATTTATCTTTACATTTTTATGACCCTTCATTTAATAATTATTTTATTTCACTAAAAACAAAAGCTTAATTTTTATATGAGATGGTGATCTAAAAATAAAAATAATAGATGCAGGCAACACAAAATAATAGTGTTCAGGCATCTTTTATTTTTATTACAGCAATTAACGAAAACATTTTCTATCTGTACAATTTTCTTTAGAAGTCTGTGATGATTTTAAGGCATTTAATCCACAAAGGCCATGATGGTGCTATAACTCCAAAGGCCCCACTCCCCTGGTGCAACGTGGAGAGTGCTGTGCCCATAAAGCACCCGCTCGCTCTGGGCAACAGTGACATTATTTGACAGTTGGTGATTCCAACGAACTTCAATGGCAAAGAGGATCCTTCAAATACTGTCAGAGAAACAGTTTCATTTTGAACTTGGATATAAAGCTAATGGTATCTAACAGCTTTTAGTGTCAGTGAATCAAATTCCTCAAGTAGAAAGAAGGGGTGACATTCTGTTTTAGAGTGACCGTATGTTTGACCCAGTTTGGCGATGGCGGTGTCATCACAATTGTATCTTGCTGCTGTAGGCTCTTGCAGCCTGACAGGCGGAACAAGTTGCTTTAGCTCACAGAGCTCATCTGTCACACTGAGCAGTTTGCAGCTTTCTGTTATCTGAATGAAATGTGGAGCGAGGACTTCTCCCTGCTCCCTGCCTATCAGCATAGTCAGCAACCTGCTCACACCCCATTCACATGAAATGAAATGGTAGAAGAAGAGAGAATTAAAAAAACGATTTCCAGAGATGCAAATGTAAGCCACATTTAATAATTAAATGACATGTGGTTCAAAAATAATAATTAAAAAAAGCATGTACAGGAACTAGATGGAAAGTTAATTTCCAAAGAAGAATTGCAATTTCCTTATCTGAAATGAGAGATGGAAACTTTTAACTTTTAAGACCAAAAACTAAGAACAGTTTTATAATTTGGTAGGGCAGTGACAGGCATCTCTTTTTTCATTATGAGCACTTACTTAGCATTTGAAGTGTTCAAACCTTTATTGAGATTTTATTACATTTTCCCAAAATAGTGCATCTAGAATTTTGTACCTTAGGCCAAATCTTGCCATAATCTCTCCACTCTTCGTAGTTCTGTGATAGGAGCAATGTTAGGGCACTGAGTTTGTGCTGGTTGCTCTTTGAAGTTCATATGTGACTGACTTGGCTGCTTTATTGTTGCAATGACCAATTTTTACTTGTTTTGAGAATATTGGCAAAAGGTGCACAAACTACAATTCTTAATAAATGCTGATTAGTGTTTTTTCCTATGTTAAGCATTGGAAAAAATTTTTCTAGCCTGTTATGTCCTGTTTTAAAAATATTTTTACTAGAGTAAAATTTCCAAATAAAACTTCAGCCAGGAACAACTACCAAGTGATTTCTGTTTGTTATAAAAGTAATAATGATTGTGGCAGTCCACAAACAAAATGATCCACATGTGATGCATGTCAGGAATGCCTTCTATCTCAAAAATGAGATAGATTATAGTTGAGGAGAAACCTGTTAATAATATTTTATTCAGAGTGATGCTGTACAACATTATTCAAAAGGAACACACCAGTTGGAGTTTTCATCATGGAAATGATGAGCTGAATCACCCCAGTCTAATGAAAAATAGGACTATGGAATGTATAGTGTGAATCTGTGAATTAGGAAGATATTTATATCTTTGGATTTTGCAGCTTCAGTGGAATAGAAAGGGTCGTTTTGTGATCGATGGATTTGTGGTGAATTGCACAAGATCTGAGAAAATGAGGATTGCATTTATCACATCTAAGGGGAATGTCAAAGTGTGTGTCTGCCCATAACCCCATCAGTGGTAAAATGATGACAGTGTGCCTTTGGGAGATACCAATCAATATGACTGTTGTAAAGCTCAACGACGACTGATTTCATTCTATCTGATGAGCTCTGGGGGTGGCTTAGAGAGCTGTGGAAAGGAAAAAACAAAAACATCAGGTTTGTACCCAAGACCTGCTTTGCAAAAGTTTGAAATAAGTCTCATGAAAATGAAATGGGACATAATGTTCTAGGTTTGAAAAATTATATAAAGATGTTCAGCTGAATTCTGTTCATCTGATCATTATAGACAGATCACTGAGAGCGTGACACAGAACCAGAATGAGTGTGCAATGAACTTTCCAGAGTGCAGTTAGTTGAGGAAACCAGTGGTTCTTGGCCTCCTTAAAACAAAGTAAAAAAAAAAAAAAAGTTGATGATAATTCATTCAGAAAGCTCACTGGTTTGCTCAACAGAAATAAATCCTATGATTTGTGGCCAGAATAAATCATTGGCAATGTCACAGATAAAGAATATCCAAAACAAGCTTAGAAGTAAAATGGAAGTGAACAAGGACATTTTAAACAGCAGAAAGCTGCTGCTTCTGTCACAAAACCTGTAACATATAAAGGCTAAAATATATTTCTTATATTGTTTTTCTTTTCCCAGTAAGAACTCTAAAACCTGAATCAGATTTTCTGTGGACAAGAGTGAGGGATTTCTGAGGGAATAACCCAAATGCATGCTGATAAAAACATGCATATATAATGCATATAGGCACACTTAAAATCTCTCTAAATATTTTCAGCAGTGGTGAAGACAAAAGCACCTGAAATCCGTGGTGCTATTTCCTAACTCTGAAGTTCCTAGCTAAAAGATCTGCAGCTTTGTTCCTTCACTTGACCTGTTTTTGTTGGAATGGGTATCTTACTCCTTATGAAGACAGCTCTTGCTAGTCTAAATAATTTGAAGAATCATTATAATTTAGGTGCAATTCTGAAATTAAAGGAGGGAAGAGGGTAGAAGTGGGAGTTTTTTTGGCTGCGGTGACAAGGTGCAGACAAGAAGTAATTCTCCATCAATTTTTCCAGGAAAACTGAAGGAAAGACTCAAACAATTTTGGTTTTGCAGAAATTTGTGTTTCTTCTTGTGCTAAACTTAGATAAAAATTGTACCTAGGGTTATGAGGTAGAGATGGATAGTTGTACAGATCAGAAGAGATCACTGAAGTTCTTCCTTTGAACTCCTGCATGGGGAATGTAAATGTCTCTCATTTCCCTTGATGGAGGCTGGTAACGCTCAGCTGAAGTGGATCTGCTGGAAAGCTTCTCTTCATTTGAAGAGACTGAGAGGGATTCAGTGCCCACTTCCCTTGGTAGTTAGTTCTACCTGTTTGTTAATCATCTTCCACATTAAACTTGGGGTTGTACAAGTTCATCTTTTGTCTGTGTTGAGTTGTCTCGCTGACATGTAAGGCAGTCTCTTTTAACTTCTGTGGCAATTTGGCATTGGCCAAAATTGCTTCAGCCTTGGCTCCCCTGTCCATGTACAGGACTGCTGGATGAGTTCAGTGTTAGTGACCAAACAATGGGGTCATTAAAGCAGCAGTGGGAAGCAACATCTGTTTGTACAGCCTTTTTCCATACAGTAGTAGCTGTACCAAATAAACATGATTATTAATGTACATGCCAAACATGTGTTTATTATCCCTTTGTAGTCCCACATTACAGAAGGAGGATACTCTAAAGGTAAGTGTATTTCTTACATTGCAGTGATAAGCATTGCCTCACACCCTTTGTGTTACATTCACAGATCTGCATGCAGAGATTGAAGCTAAAGCTGACAGGACAACTTCTTTAGCCACCTGGCTTCACTATCAGAAAAAAAGGGTGAGTGATAAAGGGAAAATGTAAAGAAAGTTGATATGCTGGAAGTTGATATGCTGAGGGTCTCCAGATCTTAGAGAATAAGTGCTGACTTCTGCTTTGTTCACAGTGGTTAAGTTGTGCTGGTGTAGTTATGTTTGCAAAGATTAATGCCAGTGTATTTAAAAATAAATGCACTGGTCCTGCATCTGCTCCCTTGATTAATAATGCCAGGTGGGAAAAACAAGAAAATTGAAAGTGACTTTTTAATGGTTCTTCTGAATTTGCATGAGGCTTGCTTATGTAGTAGTGTGCATCAAGGATTTCTGTGGAAAACAGGAAATTAAGATAGATAAGGCTGCATAACTGTGGATTTTCACTGTGTATTGAGTGGATAAATACCTAAAATTTAGGTAGTAGAGCATAATAGTAATCTGTGTGTATAATATCACAATAACTTTAGTCTTTTAAGATAATTCAGCATTCTATACTTGCTCATAAATGTGTAACATAATTGTTCTTTGATTAATAGCTAAACTAGAAATAGGGTGGCTTTTTTACTAAATAGAGACTGGATGTTATATAAGGCAGCCAGACAAAGACCCATTTTCATCAATAAGCTATTTTGCTGAGATTCAGGTATCCCATAAGCTTATATTTGTTTCAGCAACTTCATATTTTCATTTTTCACTTAATCTTCACCTTTTTCTGTTGTCACATTCAGAAAGTTGAAGTGGGATAATTAAAGCAGCCTGCAACATAAAAGAAAGATGTAGAAATTCAAGATAGTCACACTATGCAGTGAAATTTAAATTTCAAGTGTTTTTTGAAATAAAAATTTTCAACACTTTAAAGTGTTATAAATTGTAAATTGCTGTGATCAACTGTTTAAAGACCAGTTAAACACTAGATTTGTACAGCCCAGAAGAAGCAAATGTGTGCTATGCTGTGGTGTGCGTTTGCTTTTTTTTTCTGATCATGTTTGCCTTTTATGACATGGTACATTAATTTGTAATATATATAGGCAGTTGAGCTGTTATTAGGTAAAAAAAACATATAAGAAAAAAGAGATCGGAGCAAGCAAATATTTCTCATAACTAAAAGTATTTTCAAAGGAAAACATTTAAGAGATGCTAGAAAGTGGAGGTCTGTATGTGGCAGCAGCACTCTAGGTTTACAGCTGTTTGTACCTGTCTAATCTTCTTTTTACTTGAAGTTATGTGGTAACTGTGGTGTTGCCTGCCATAGGTGATCTTGAACCAAATAGCCTCCTTATAATTATCTTTAATTTAGATAGATTTGGCTTCCATTTCATACTCACACTTGCACACACCCAGTTCTTTTTCCTGCTCTTTATTTGGGAACAGGCTGAAAATGTCCGTTCGATCCCTCACAATACCTGTGTCCTTTAGGTGGCACATCTGCACAGCGGCTGTCAGGTGCTGTTACCCACATTAATTGTCAGACTTGCTTTTCCTTGGAGAGATCCTGGCAGGAGGAGAATTCTCTGGAGAGGAGGTGGTGATTAATTCTGCCCTCATATGAGCACATTTCTTAGATGCTCTGGTTGTGTGGATAGAAAGTCACCACACCTTTGTTGTGAATTGGTTTACACGAGCCAGCTCCATCCTGATGCTTCTGTCTCACCCCTTTAGCTCTGAGTTCAACTCAAGCTGCTATGATTTGCCCCTTAGCATTGGCTGCTGGTCTGGGTTTGATGTCAAATTAGGAGAACTGTGCAGCTTTTGTTGGGATTGAAGAGGCAGTTTGGGTCTGTCCTTTGTGTGTTGTGGAATGTTAAGCACAGGGGCTGGGTGAGCAGAAAATGGCAGTGAAGCCACGCTGGACTGCAGAACCTTGTCCTTGGCTGTAACAGAATTGCATGTGGTGATCTCTGTGGCTCGTTGAGGGCCTGATAGCTTTGCTTTTGAGCCCTGAGCAGCCCTGGTGAACTGAATCAATTTATCTTTTTGTGAGAACATGTGGCTTGAATTCCTGATTCTCTGGGCATGTTTGTGTTTGAGCTGATATTAGTCTGGCTTCAGACAGAGAAAACAGGAGCTCTGAATGTAACTTAGAGAAGAAAGGAATGAAGGGTCTTTCCTTCTATAATTCTATGCTCAGTTCAAGTAATCAGCAGAGGAGTTAAGAATTACAACACTTCTCTTTCTTGTTGGTCTTTTTTATAATGTGGAATGTATCTTTAGAATTGTTTAGATTGGAAAGACCTTTAAGATCATTGAGTCCCACCATTAGCCAAGCACTGCCCTTAAACCATGTCCCCAAGTGCCACATCTGCACATTCTGTATTTGGGTATAGGATGCTCGTGTACTTAGACTGTATTAAATATGGGACTTGCTTATCATGTCACTGAGAATTAATTTTATGTACTGTCAGTTTTAAAATAGTCTCAGATTTTCCAGATGGAGGAAGAGTGAATAAAGTAAAAAAAAAGAATAATAAAACCTTAATCACTGGCATATCACAATCTGGCAATAACAGTACTATTTATTAGGTGGAAAGATAGAAAAGTTCCATTTGCAAAGCAGCAGACTATGTATTCACATTTTTTTACTGCTTGCATTGCAGTGGATCTAAATTTGATCAAGTATCTTTGTCATTGAGAGGCAATAAATGTTTCCCCACTAATTGTTTCTAATGCATTTCTTTTAATTTTTGTGGACATGAGAGTTGAAAACACTGAAAATTGCTCAGATTTCATGAAAGAGCTGGAGCAATATTGCCTTAAAATAAAACAGGAGTGTTGAGTTCCTAGAGGAAGAAGTGTATTCCCTGAATGCAGTTTTTCCAAACCAGCTCTTTCATATGTCTGAGATTTTTAAGACAATTTTCTCTAGTATTTGTTTACTTGTAAGATGATTGACTTTAATATTTTTCTGGGACCATTGTATATCAGAGGCATCAGAAGGTTATATAGATAGACTTTGAAAATATAATTGCATTGACCATCATAGATTTAATTTTTTAAAGTAAGTTATCTGAATTTGGAAGCACCTAACTTTGGAAACCTGCTATGTCTTGAAAGAATCATGGTAGAATGGGAGTGTGTAGTTAATGTGTCCTTTTTAAAGAGAATATTTGTAGTTCCAGAATACCAATTACGTTATTGGTCCTGCAGAAGAACTGAAAGGTGATTGCCTGAATTAAGGTGACATTGGGCGGGAGTGTGATCGAATTTAAGTTCCCTCTTACCAAACACAATTGGTAAGCCCTTAGAATCTCCAAATAAATACTTGTGCTTTAAGGTCAGCCCAGACCTCATGGATTGCTTTTCCTTTCCCTGATAAAAGCAGATGCAAGCATGCCAAATTGCTTTGCTCCGGCTTAACCCCAGCACTGTTTGAATTCATAAATGCTACAAAAGGAAAGCTTATTACCGCATGTGAGGGTGAAGTGGGAAATGTCATGCCTACCTAATCTATTTCCTGGGAAGGGGAGAAAAATCTTTTTATTCTTTTACTAAGACCTGGGGAATAAAGTAAGGACTGGATGTGATGCTGATAATCAAGGATTGTCTTTCATATATTGAATTGATATCAACCCTGTGTTTTCTGTTGTCTCTGATATATTTTCTCAGAAATGAGACAGTAAAGGAACGTTTTTTCTGTATTGAATAATATACTATATTTAAATAGTTTTTTTTTAAAACTTATTTTACTTATTTCTCTACTATTAAGCAGCCATTTCTCTGAAGCTCTTGCTTTAAGGATAGATTGTTCAAACACTGACACATCATTTAGCAGATGGAACAAAGCAGTGCTGCATTTGGGCTGTACATGGTAACTATAGCAGTATTAGAAAGGGCATCAATGGGAGCTTTGCTCTGAATTGATAACAAGTACATAGTTTTAAATAACTTGGACAAGAACAAAACACTCCTAAAATAAAGTGCTTGAGGGGAAAGTAGGTTTTCACACTGTAAACAGTGTTCTTTGAAAGCTGGGAGAAGGAAAAAAATACTGTAGCACAGTGCAGTAAGTTAAATCATTACATTAATTGAACATTTGTCTATTTGCAATGTTTTTGCTTTGTGGATGTCAGTAAGATGAATGGTTGAGAAAGGAAGTGAAAGGGAAGTAGTAGTGGGTAAGGTTCAAAACAAAGTAATTAACATTCATAGGCTGTAAATTGTGGGTAATGTGTTAAGTTCACTTTCCTAAAACTGGTTTAGTGGTGTTGTAAACTGCTACCTATAACTGACTTAGCAAATCCACAAACACAACTTTTGTGATAATATATTCCTCAAGTTTTGAATGAGGATGACTGACATCTTGTGTTCTATCGATGAATCTTATTTTGTTTCATCATAAATGTTTCACAAAATTTTACTTCATTGTAAAGTTGAAATTCTGCATCTAACAGGTGTTGAATCCTTTTCTTTTGGAAGGTAGTGCTTAAACCTGAATGCCTCTCATTGTGGTTCTAAGCCTAAAATAGGGCAGATACTTCTTAAGCTATTTAGTAGACAGAGTATCAGCCCAATGAGAAACTGACAGGATTTTATAGGATGCAGATGCTGGAGGAAAATGTAGTATTTCACTGTTAGCATTTTGTTCCTGATGACAATCCAGTTATTAAGTTGCCGGTTTTCTCACAAAACATAGCATGTGGCTACCTAATTAGATTGCTTTAAAGCCTGTTGGAAATGCCGATATGTTTCTTATAATCCTTTTGCCTTGGGTTGCTGTTGTTAAAGGCTGACTTCTCCGTCTTGGAAAAAAGGCTTGTTCACTGGGCTAAACATGAAAAATGCATTATGCTTGATGTTCTGCTTGATGCTCTTGGTTAAAGTGTAATGTGCAACAGAATTCTCTCGATTTTGTGGCTCTTGAAGCTGTAGCTGGTGGGCAATAATGGCAAAAAGGTGCTCTGATTACAGTTATAGGGACGCTACTTAATCATCGTTGGTAAGAGATTAAACTTTAATAATTCAATTAAAGCTTTTGATGCAACTTTTAAAAAAAAGAATATCACTAATGAAAAAACTTGGTCTGGATAAGTG